CATATCAGTCTCTCAGTACCCAAATTGGTAGCTACACATGTACAAGAGGGTTGCACGAAAGGTTAAGATAGACGATGTCTGTCGCGCTTGAAGAGTGCATGGCACACGCAAGTACCACTGTAGAGTCTTCCTGTTCCTATTGTCTGCAATCAATCGCTCTCGACTTTATCGTCCGCTTCCCCCAGAAGGCTGATGGCCACAATGGGGTACTCGTCTTTGTTGACAGACTCAGCAAGATGTTTTGCATCGCTCCGTGTAGCGATTTCATCGATGCCCAAGGTACGGCTAAATTATTTACTAGTTACGAATTTCGCAATCACAGGTTGCCAGGCGCCATCGTCTCTGATCGAGATACACGATTCACGAGTGGCTTGTAGAAATGTTCTGAATTCTTGGCACTCGCTTGGATATGCCCAAAGCCGGACCGATGGGCAAACAGAGCGTGACAACCAGTGGTCGGTGATTTGTTGTGAAGCTTTTTGCGGGATATTCCACAGAATGGAATTGGTTGTCACCATTAGTTGAACTTGCTAAGATCAATTTAGTTTATTCATCTGTTGAATCTATGCCTTTTTCTATGAATGGCTCGCGACACCCGCAAGTATCGCTTTGTGCGATGGGTGGTGTCTCTGATGTAACTGGGGAGAAGCCTAGCAAATCATTGCCTCCCAAATTGATACATGATATGATGCGAATGTGAAGCGCAACTACAAGGCCGCCCTGAACTCATTCATCATGAGTCGTATGAACGAGACCGCACAGGTGCGAGACGGATGGCGAATTCGCAAGATTTGCAAAGGATTACGCAGATAGACAAGTTTGTCATGGCAAATGTTTTATGTTGTCCTAGAACTAAGAGCACATCAGACGATGCGGTCTCAAGCTCGGATAACCCGAGGCAATTATTTTGCGCTCGATTCACGATCGAAGTATATGCTGAAACGTTGAAAGCGCGTTTTAGTGACACCGTCACCGTTTGCTAAGCGACAAGGTCATGTGTCACTGTGCTGAGGGTCCTTGTGGACCTCGGTGTCAAGTTATTTTACTTTGATAGCGTAGCTTTAGACTTGGATTTAAGGAATGACCATATCCTTGGTATGGCATACTTAAAACACCATGAGCCATGGATCGATTGGATGTCGAAGACCTCGGGCGCTACGCGCACGTCTCCTGATAGAGCTTTGGTGAGTTTTAACCCACCACTGCTAGAAAGCAGAATCGCTATTGACGCAGGCATTGGACCGGGACGGTCAATGTGGTGGATATCAGCGTATCAGAGTTGTCGAACATCGAAGGTGCATCGGACCAAAGTCCCGAGCATGGCTGGCGGGCTGAACGTGGAGTGGCACGTAACCCACTGAGCATTGCTCAGGTATCAAAGCAGCTGCTGCATACCAAGCGTAGCATGGGCAGACTCAGTCCGAGGCATTGAGTGTGAGGCCTCAGTTATGAGTGTAGAGTGGCACGTCACCCACTGTGTAACGGGGTTCCACGTACCCTGGTAACAGAGGGGGATGTCACACGAGATGGGCATGGTGTGACCGCACCCAAATAAGAATACGGCTCGTGGCTGGGTAGCCAGTAGTTATGCATGGATTTAGATTTTAGTATATATATTTAGGAAAATCTATGCATTTAGAATTAGACGGCTTTGCCGCAGATATAAGTAAATAAAGTCAGTTTTGGATTCAAACCGAAGAGTTCATTAGCCTTTGGTTAAGGAAATAATTACTCTTGGAGTTGGCGGATTGCGCCGCAAAAATTGGACTTGTCCTAAGTATAGAACGAAGGGTCGGTGATATAACTTACACTTCCTCTAAGAGCAAAGCTACGGCAGCCCCGCTGCACTTGGTAGCACTTGTAGTCAATCAACACCTGAGTCG